CTCTCTCTCTCTCTCCTGCTACCCTTTCTCTTGTTTTGAATCTCATTTAGTGTTAAAAATTTGGCTTTGTTCTTGCTTCATCACAAATTAAAATGCTACTCATTTGAGATTATGAATCAGTAGAAAGAAAATAAGGCTGAGCATTATTTATCATCATTGGAGCAGTTATGCTTAAACAATGTCAATAAGTTCATATTTTGTCTCCTAAATTCACTTGTATCCCAAAAAACCAATTAGGTCCAATAGATGCCAACTAGCAGTGACCAGTGACTGGGAATTGCTAGACAAATAGTTTCTATCAAAAACAAGGAAAAAACTGGGAATTTGAGAACTACTGATAAAGCTAAGTAGAATACAGAAAAGTTTAATTCATGTCTCCAAACCAAGGATAAATACAAAATAATTTATTAAGTTTGAATTTTTAACGTGTGTTAATCATTCATAAGGAGATGAATGGTAATCACCATTAGCAGTCACTGCTTTTTTCTTTATTTTCATCAAATACAAAATCTTTCTGATGAGCATGCCCTCATGAAAAGATTAAGTGCAAATGCATGTATCCTCAGCTGTATATATTAAAGCTTGGTAGAAAGAAAAAGTGAACAGGTATTATGAATTAGATGTGCTATTCTCTACAGACAATTACTTTTATCAGATTAAAGACAAATGCAAAATCTAAAAGGGTTCAGATTTATATGTAATTAGCTAATCCTTAGCAAAACTGTCTCAAAGGCTGGTGAGTGACACACTTTTGAATAGGTCCAGAGCTGCAGGGAAATGAAAAAAATGCTTTAAGAATATTAAAGTATGAAATATATTTTATAAACGTACACACAAAAGAGATAAATAGATTACTTATTCACTTATGTCTGAACCATGCAGATATATGGAAGACTTATTATCCATCTATTTCATCCCCCATATTTCCAATACTGTCTGCGACCTACACAAAAAACTCTTTTTGGCAAAACTGACAGAACCAAATACGTTTAATCTTTACAAAAGAATCTAAGAACCTAAGTGTGATTGGATGTAGATTCAACTTCCATGAGAAACGCAGGGTGAAAATCTGTGTTATACAGATTTCTCATACTTGTTCTTCCTTCTTTTTCCATCAACCCCATAAGAAATCTGAAGAACTTTAAAAGAAAAACATTTTAAGGAGATGGTTCTCTTAAACTTGGCTCATGTTATTTGTTGAGGGATGAAAGATTCAAAGACAATGTATAGTCAGATGGGATAATCTGCTGTGACAAAGAGAGAAATCAATGGAAAGGATCCTTAAACTCCACCATAGTCCATTGAATCGACAAGTGAATACCACTTTAGGGTAGAAAGAATGAAGAGGAAAAGCACTTTAGACTGCTAAAGAGAAGAAAAGCTGGAGAACAAGAGGCAGCTACAGGCACATTTAGGTAAGTTTGTGTGAGTAGATAGCTATTTGATCCAGCTTCAGATCCAGCTGCTTCAAATGCTGGGGATCCGATCCGGAGCTCCAGACCAGGTTCCCACTTCGATCCGGCTGAAGTGGCTCTGAAGCTTCGGAGCTGCCTTGGAGATCCCGCCATAGGGTATAACGGGGGATCAATGAAATGTCTATAACTTTGTTGTTTTCTGTCCAATTTGGATGAAACCTGCAGGGGTGGTAGCCTCTGCTGAGACCATGAAGACTGCCAAGTTTCAAGAAGATTGGTGTAGAGGTTTGGGGGGAACTGTGGGGGTGTATGTGAGGTAGGGGAGCATGTGGGGGTGTGCGGGTATGTGGTCTGTGGGGGGCTGTAAGTGTGTGGGGGAAGGGTGGCTGGGGAGGGTTGTGGCATGTGTGGAG